GGAGGGGGGGACAACCAGGGGGTGGGGGGACATAAACCAGAGCGGGGACACTACCCGCGGGTGCGCTCTGGGGATGGGACTGTCGGGCCTTTCTGGGGGTGAGGGGACACACGGGTGGTCCCTGGAGGTGGTGGGAGACCCGAGGTGTGGGGACACCCCCGGGGTGGCACAGGGGCACTCAGGTTGTGGAGGTGGCAAGGTCTCATAGCGGGCAGTGACACTGGGACTCCTCCGTCCCCCGCACCCTGCTGAGGCCATCGCCGGGTGTCAGCGGCAGAAGAGTGGGGTGGTGGGTGAGCGCTGCCCCTTTCCCTGTTGTGGAGCGGGGACAGGGCTGGTGGCTCACAGAGGCTGGAGCGGGGCTGGAGCCGTGCAGACAGACTCTGAGCTGTCTCTATCCTCCTCTTCCCCAGATGAACCGTTCTCCAACCCTCTGGCCCCTGATGGCCACGATGTGGACGACTCGCACTCCTTCCACCAGTAAGTATGGGACTGGGGCACTGGAGTGGGACTGGGCCAGGACTATGGGACCCAAAGCTGATTCCCCCACCTAGAGGGTGGGAGTGGTGAGTTTGGCTGATGAGAAGCTCAACACGACCTGGCAATGTGCGCTGGCAGCCCAGAAAGCCACCAGCATCCTGGGCTGCATCCCCAGCAGTGTGGCCAGCAGGGCGAGGGAGGGGATTGTGCCCCTCTGCTGTGCTCTGGGGAGACCCCCCTGCAGTGCTGCCTCCAGCTCAGGGGGTCCCAACAGCAGAAGGACACGGAGCTGTTGGAGCAGGGCCAAAGGAGGCCCCGGAGATGCTGGGAGGGCTGGAGCCCCTCTGCTGTGAGGACAGACTGGGAGAGTTGGGGTTGTTCAGCCTGGAGAAGAGAAGGCCCTGGGGAGACCTCAGAGCCCCTTCCAGTGCCTAACAGGGGCTACACGAGAGCTGGGGAGGAACATTTTACAAGGGCATGTAGTGATAGGATGAGGTGTGATGGCTTCACACTGGGAGAGGGGAGATCTAGACTAGATATAAGGAAGACATTTTCTATGGTGAGGGTGGTGGCCCTGGCCCAGGTTACCCAGAGAAGCTGTGGCTGCCCCATCCCTGGGGGTGTTCAAGGCCAGGTCGGATAGGGCTTTGAGCAGCCTGGTCTAGTGGGAGGTGTCCCTGCCCATGGCAGAGGGCTTGGAACTAGATGATCTTTAAGGTCCCTTCCAATCTAAACCATTCTGTGATTCATCCTGTGATTCCATGATTGGTGCAGTGCAGCCTTCAGGCTCCCTCTGTGGGGACCCCGTCTCCAACTCCATCACACAGGACATGTTGGCCAACCCTCTGTCTCCTCAGAAGCCATCAGGCTGCCAAAGTTCATTGGGAGGTGACGGTTTCTGTTTCCCTTCTTCCTTGCAGGTCCAAGCTGACCAATGAAGACTTCAGAAAGCTTCTCATGACCCCACGGGCTGCGCCCACATCTGCGCCACCCTCCAAATCTCGTCACCATGAGTGAGTAGGACTCTGGTTCAGAGGGCGGTGGGACAAAGCGTGGCTGCCTCCCCTCTGGGGCCCCGTTCATGCCTGGCTCTTTCCCCCTGTGCTCTGCAGTGGAGTATTTAAAGGGGCTTTTGCTAATGAGCATGCAGATAGGGTGTGAAGAGCAGACCTCGGCCATGCTTTGCGCTGGGGTCCGTGCATGCTATATGTGTGTGTGACTGGAGAAACAGCTGGGTCAGGACTGTTTGAAATAACAGAGCAAGTCTCGTACAGCTGTTAAGATGCTTCGTGCAAGAGGCAGGTTTAGGTTTTGGTGTGTGAAAATCAGTGCTTTCCCTTCCTCTCGCTGCTGACAGAGTGGACTCAGGGAGAAACAAGACTGTGCTGTTCCCATCTTGATGCATCTTGGTGCCCGGCTGTGTCTGAGGGGCTGTTCTGCCCAGGTGCCTCTGTTTGTGTGGCTCTGCAGACTCTACATGTGATTTCTTACCCTTTTCTAGGATGCCCCGGGAGTACAATGAAGATGAAGATCCAGCTGCTCGCAGAAGGAAGAAGAAAAGGTAAATTGGGAAAGCAATGCGTCAGGACTCATCTTCATACATCATGTCCCTCCCGTGGAAGCAGCTTCTGAGCTCTTGGGCTACCAAAGAGGACCCTGAGTGGCCTGGATTATTCTGGGGCTTTGGCGGAGCGAGAAGAGCTCAGACTGAGTGACTGTCACTCCTTGTGGGAACAGATGTTGGGGGGCGGCAGCAGGATGAGGGTGAAGCTTCACCTCTGGATGAAACAGGGGAGGCTCTGGCAGAGCTGGGGAGTGGTGGCACATCTGTGCTAGTGACAGTCTTTGGGGCACGTCGTGGTATCAGGACTGCACTCAACCTTTTCCTGTTGGAAGGGAAGACTGAGCTCCTCTTCGGATAGCCTTGGTACAACAGTTTCATCTTGTCTGGTGTCCTCCAGGCATATTGTGTCCCGTGGTGTTTTAGTATGTTTTTGGGGGAAGGGGTTGGGAGCAGAACGGGCATGCATGGGGCCTTGGGGACTCTTACCTGACTGGTACCTGAAATGTGTGAACATGTCGCTCTAACACTGAGCTGTTTTTCCAACCCCAGCTACTACGCAAAGCTGCGCCAGCAGGAGATAGAGCGCGAGAGGGAGTTGGCTGAGAAGTACAGGGATCGAGCCAAGGAGAGGAGAGATGGTGTGAACAAGGACTACGAGGAAACAGAGCTGATCAGCACAACTGCCAACTACAGAGCTGTGGGGCCAACGGCAGAGGCGTACGTGAGCCTGTGGCATGGCCGTGTCTTGCTGGTCTGCTCCAGAGGGGCGGTCTTGTAACTGGCTCCATTTTTGTTACACAGGGATAAATCTGCTGCGGAGAAGAGGAGACAGTTGATCCAGGAGTCCAAGTTCTTGGGTGGTGACATGGAGCACACTCACTTGGTGAAGGGTCTGGACTTTGCGCTGTTGCAGAAGGTGAGCAGAGATATCACTATGCTGCTCTTCTGCTCCCACAGGCAGAGAGGGTGGGCAGAGGGTCGTAGTTGCCACCTACGAGTGCTTCAGTCTTGTCAGTGTGGATTCCTCTTTCTGGGAGAGATTTATGAAGGGTTGGGGAGCTGGTGGAAATGGACTCGCTGGTTCTGATAGGCAGCTGTGGCAAGGATTGGTCTGTAATGCATGGATATACTTTGGCCAGGTACGGGCTGAGATTGCCAGCAAGGAGAAGGAAGAGGAGGAAATGATGGAGAAGCCCCAGAAAGAAACTAAGTGAGTGGTTGAGGATTTTGCACTCCTGAGTGCAGCTGCATCCAGGAGAAGAGGATGCAGAGGAGGCATACGCTTAGCATAATGCTTCTGTTTCTTTTCTGTTTCTGTTCAGGAAAGATGAAGATCCTGAGAACAAAATTGAATTTAAAACCCGGCTGGGTAAGACTGGATGTGGCTGTTCTCCCCACGTTGCGTTGTGCTGTGAATGTGGGAGAAATCCTGGAGGGCGAATGGAGGAATGAAAACCTTTAGTCATTGGAGGGGGGAGAGTCTGAGGTGTATTTGAGGGTTGGAGGAAGCATGTCTCTTAGGAATCGATTCTGATGTTTCTGATAAACCAAATATGCTTCGCTATGGGCTTGTCCATTGCTCTTGTAAGAGCAGCTCTCCCATGCGTTTCCTTCCCCTCCAGGTCGCAACATCTACCGCATTCTGTTCAAAAACAAGGCTTACGAGCGGAATGAGCTGTTCCTGCCAGGGAGGATGGCCTACGTGGTAGATCTGGATGATGAGTATGCTGACACCGATATCCCAACCACACTGATCCGGAGCAAGGCTGACTGCCCCACCATGGAGGTATCCAGCAAGCGTCCAGCTTGCTTGACCACATTGGTCTGAGTTGGCCAGAGCAGATCTTACCATGGGGGGTTCTCTGACAACAGAGTCATCCGCTTCCTTGGGGATTTCTCTTTTCAGGCACAGACCACGCTGACCACCAATGACATTGTCATCAGCAAACTGACGCAGATCCTCTCTTATCTCAGGCAAGGGACCCGCAACAAGAAGCTCAAGAAGAAAGACAAAGGTAGGAGCTGAAGGGAATCAAGTAGAAGGACTTAGTACTGGAAGCGTATCCCAAGAGAAGGAAATGTTTTGGTTTGCCACGTTCCCTTGCGCCATGAGGCAGTGGACTTGGAGGACCATGATTTCCTTTAGCTCCTCAAGCCCTGCATCCTGAAGGCAGGCTGTCTGTGGCGGGACCGCAGGGGTCTGGCTGCTGAAAAATTACAGCTGTGAGGGTGGCTCATGCTGCTCTACTCTTCCTGCTTAAGGCCCGGTTCCTTGGGGAGATGTCCACTGTTGGGGAGGGATATAGTGGCTTCCTGAGGGGGCTAGATATGCTGTGGTAACTGTAGAAGAAGTCAGGAGGACACCTTCCAGGTCACCACTTTAAGGACTTGGAAGCCAGACTAGGGACAGGGAAGCAGTGCAGGTGGCAGAGTGGATGATGTGCCTCTTATGCTCTTGTGTCCTTGCAGGGAAGCTGGATGAGAAGAAGCCCCCTGAAGCTGATATGAAGTAAGTGCCTCCCTGCTCACAGACTGTGGGGTCACAGCTCTCTGCCTTAAGGAATGTCTTTTTTGTCCCACTGGGTTTGGAGAGGGCTGGGTTTAGTGCTTCTGGAGTAAGCTGTGGTTTGCAGGACAAGGCTGGAGGCAAGCTCCGTTTGTTTTTATTTCAAGCTTGAGACAGGCAAGGGCTCTCAGTTGTCCTGGTCTACCGGAAGCAGGTCCAGGCAGCAGAAGAGAGCAGAAATGCAGTGATAGCTCTGATAGATGTAGAAGCCAGTTCTGGTTCCTTAGCTCTCAGTGTTGGTGCTGCATGCTCCTTTATTAGGGTCCAGTTCAAAGCGGGGTGGTTGCGGCCTCTTCTCTTGCACCACCCATAACCGCAGGCTCTTTTCCACTCTAGCATCTTTGAAGACATCGGGGATTATGTGCCCTCCACTGCGAAGATGCCACGGGAGAAGGAGCGGGAGAGGTACCGTGAGAGGGAGCGTGACAGGGACCGGGAGCGTGACAGGGACCGAGAACGTGACAGGGACCGGGAGCGTGAGCGGGACAGGGAGCGTGACCGGGAGCGTGAGGAGGAAAAGAAGAGGCACAGCTACTTTGAGAAGCCCAAGGCTGATGATGAGGTGAGCCTCTGCTCATGAAGACTGGACTGTCCCTCCTGATCTCTGCCTTTGGGGAGTGCAGCTGTGGGGTTGGTGTGGTCACCCTGATGACTTCAGGTGTCTCTGGTCATGCTCCCACATGTGCCAGTGTCCAGCTCTTGCTGAGCTGTGTCTCTCCAGCCAGGGGCTGGGTGCTTTTTCCCCTCCTTCAGCAAGTAAGGCAGTCTTGAAGTGGAGCTGCAAGTCATGCAGCACTGTCACTTGCCTGCTTTCAATCATCCTGGGTGACATGGTATCTCTCTTCTTTGCAGCCCACAGACATCGACAAAGGTGAGTCAAGTGGTGTGAACGTTTGAATGCGGCTGGATGTTTGAGTGAGGCTGTACGGGGTTGCAGACTGCAGACCTGCTTGCTCGCTAGCCTGCATGAGCTCCCTGCTCTCCCAGAGACTGCTGTGACAGGGGGAATTGCTTGCCATGAGGGTTTTGGGGTGAAGAGTCTTGTGCCTACAGGCCAGTGCATGCCAGCCCAGGTTGATTGTCTGTGCAGATCCTTCCCTGGCAGCAGACCAGCTCCACCAACCTTATGTTGGCTGTAAGCGGAGGAGGGTTCAGGGTCTCCTAAGATCAGCCTGCCCCTGTCTGTGCTTGAACTGGGTTGCTGCTCCTCAGCATTCTCTTGGCTTCTCCTCTTCTACCTCATATGCACCTGGTCCTTCTGCCTGTTACGCCATCCCAATGAACTGGTTGTGCAGACGGGGGCTCTGCCCAGCCCCACATGTATTGCAGTGAGCAGTTCCTCCCCCAAAACTCAGCCCACTGCTCTCTCTCTGTCCCAGGACCTGGCTCAGCCAAGGAGCTCATCAAATCCATCAACGAGAAATTTGCTGGAGCCGCTGGCTGGGAAGGAGCAGAATCATATCCTTTACTGTCTGGGCTAGCCTGGCCGACTGCGGGGCCACGTTTCCATTTCAGGCAGGCCTTGCCTGAGTATGGCTGTGTGACTGTCCTTCCTCACTTGGGAATGCTCTTCCTCCTGTAGTGGAGAAATTCTGCCCAAACTTTGCTGCTCATATGCCAAACATAAGCTCTGCAGCCTCTGATTTGTTTGTGTTAGGACAGGAGATAGCTCTTTGGCTGGCTGTGCTCAGCCCTTAACTGTAAGGCTGCATAGTGTTGCTTTCCTTGACTGTTGTCACATTGAAGAAGCCAGAAGACAAGAAGCAGTTGGGGGACTTCTTCGGCATGTCAAACAGCTATGCCGAGTGCTACCCTGCTACGTAAGGAAGCAGCAAGAAGCTGCGGGTTGGGAGCAGGGTGTGCCAAGGGGCTGCTGTTCTCCGGCAGCAAGAGCTTGAACATCAGTCCTGCTGCTTGTTGGGTGGAGTGGGCTTGGCTTTGTCTGGGGTTGCAACCTACTGCTAAAACACTCCCCAAGTCCTTGGTTCTGGCAGACCTGGCCTTTTCTTACCTGGTCTCTGCTATAAATGGCTGCCTGGAGTCTGCTGCCCCTCACTGCCAGGGAGAGCCAAGGTGGCTGGGAGTCTGCCGGGTTCCCTGGTAATTCCTGTGCTCGTTGAGCTCTGGCCACAAAGCAGTTCCTGGGCAGAAGAGGAACAGCTTTCAGCGTGCAGTCATCTTGGGAGCGTTAGCAATCTTGGATGCCTTTGTGGTACAGCTCACCTGCAGGGCCTGCAGTTGAAGGAACTTCTCCCTGGTCCAGGAACCAAGTGTATTCAGTCTGAGGCCACAAGAGATGGCTCCCACTGGCTCGCTGCCTCGTGAGCATTGCAGCCCAGCTCCATGGTCCTGATCCATGTCCCAGGGAGCTGTGGTGAGCTCTTGCCTTGCTTTTCTATTACAGAATGGATGATATGGCTGTGGATAGTGATGAAGAGGTGGATTACAGCAAAATGGATCAGGTACGCCATCACCAGCTTTTAGGATCAGTGAATTAGGCATCAGTGCAGACTGAGAGGGTCCCTCTGGAGAGAAGCAGCGTTGTGCTGAAAGCTTGAATGCCCTGGAGCTGGGTGCTGAAAGTGTTTTGGGGTTTGCTGAAGCGCTGTGTGCCTGGATCTGGGTGGGATCTATCATCCCAGGGAGCAAACATGCAACTCTCGAGGTGATGGGGAGGTGTGCTAGTCCATCTTGACTTCCGCTTCCACAGAATCTCCTGTTTGGGGCTTCTCAGGGAGGGGATCTCAGAGCTAAGGCCAGACTGGGTGCACAAACCCATTGAACAGGGACTGTTGGGAGACTGAGATCTTGCCTGGGTGCATGGGGCTGTGCCAGCGCCAACTGAGGAACTGCTGTGAGTCGTTCTTTTGCTGCAGGGTAACAAGAAAGGACCTCTGGGCCGCTGGGACTTTGACACCCAGGAGGAGTACAGCGAATACATGAACAACAAAGAGGCTCTGCCCAAGTGAGTGCAGCCCTTGTGAACGGCTGAGCGAGGATTCTGGGTGGGGATGACAGTGCTGGCCAAACCTGGGTCCTGGGGCAGCTTAAATTGAGAAGGGGATTCCCCTGGTGAGGATCTGAGGAGGAGCTGTGGGTTCTGGGTCTGATGGCTTGTCTTTGCTCTTGGTGTTGCTCTTGAGGACTCCTCCCCAGCTGCTGCTTCCAGGGGCTCAAGCCGGCTGTGCAGTATGGCTTGTGGCTGGGGCAGATGTGTCCCCAGCAAGTGTTGAGCTCTGTCTCACTCCTTCCCCAGGGCGGCTTTCCAGTACGGGATCAAGATGTCTGAGGGACGCAAAACTCGTCGCTTCAAGGAGACGAATGACAAGGCAGAGCTGGACCGGCAGTGGAAGAAGATCAGTGCGGTGAGTGCCCGGTGCTGGGGTATCATCTGTTTAAGCCACGAGCTGCCAGTGTAACACAGGAGAGCTTCCACCTCCTCCTGCTGTCCCTGTCCTAGGCATGGCTCTCTGGTCCAGCCCATGTCCTGGCAGCCAGGCACTGCTGGTGTGTGTGTGTGCAGAAGGGCTGGCTCTTTCTAGAAGCTGAATTTGCTCCTTGCACAAGAGTCAGCCAAATATGTGGGGCTTCAGGACTGCAGAGGCATTTGGAGCTGTGTCCCTGGGAGCAGTCCTGACTGGGGGGCTTTTTAATCCAGGCTCTGCAGCAGATGAACCTGTCCAAAACCAGCAGCTCTGAGTCATGCAAAGGGGCTTGGATGGGACAAGGCATGCTTCCAGCTCCCTGTTTTCTAACCAGCAGAGCTGTGGGTTGTCCTGGCAGGGTGAGCTGGCCGTGAGCACCCCAACAGTATGGGGTTGGTAGGGGAAGGTGAGAACAGGTGGGTCTTTGGCCAAAATGGAGCAAAGTGGGAACAGGCCAAGCTTCTCTAGGCTTCAAGCAGCTTGTAGACAACTTTAGCTCACCTCTGCTTGCTCTGGCCTGGCTCCAGTTCTCCCCAGGTGTATCTTACACCCATTCTGCTGCGGTTGTGGGCAGTCAGCTACCCTGAGGGTAACAGGACTTTGTGCTTTTTCTGCAGATCATCGAGAAGAGGAAGAAGTTGGAGGCTGATGGGTCAGTAAAGTTATCTCTGCTCTGGGCTCAGCTACAGGGCAGTGTTGGAGCCTAGCTGTCTCCTGTCACCTCTCCCAGGGGCTGCAGCGGGCAGAGACCTCCCTGCCGGCTCTCGGTGGTGGGGCTGGAAGGAGAGTGGAGAACACTTGGCCCCTCTCAGGGTGCTTCTGCCCCGCTCAGCTCAGCAGAGCCTGCAGGGCACCTCTTCTCCCCTGGGCCATGGGCGGGTGCTGAGCAGAGCCCGGGGCTGTGTTGTGACTCCTCTTTCACCAGACATTTCTGGCCCATCCAGCTGGGTGCTCTGAGGAGCTGTTGGGCCACCCCACTGTTCTGTGGGGTGAGACTGTGGACCTCAGTGCTGAGCTCTGGATGGGAGGGGGACACACACCTGTCTGCTGTGTGTCCTCACCTCTGTCCTGCCCCTCTGTCTCTTCCAGGGTTGAGGTGAAACGGCCCAAGTACTGAGGCGTCCAGTATCTTCTCGAGCTCCTGGAACTCTGGCCTGCTGGATGCTGCCTTCCCGGAGCTTGCTGTTGTGCTCTCCTTGCCCCCCGAGCCGTCCACTTTCTGCTCTGGGCTGGGCAGCTTGTGTCCACCTGCAGCCTTGTGCTGTAGGGCTGTGCTGAGACTCTCTCCCCTCCAGTGTTTGATGTATAGCCTGTGATGTGTAAATGTTGTAGCTTTAATAAAACTGCATTAAATTTGCAAGAATGTCTCTTTGTGTGGGCAGAAAGGTGTCTGGGCTGGGCTAAGAGCAGCAGGGGTGCCAGGGCTCCTTCTCCCAATCCAGGTCCATGTGAGTCTCCTAGGGTGAGTCCTAGCTAAGGATGCGGGAGCCTTTCAGGGTAGGGGGCAGCAGCCCCTTTCAAGCCCTGAATAAAACTAGCAAGTAAGACTATTTGGGGGAAATAATCCCCACTGCCTCAGTGGGTGGGGAAGAAACGGGACCCTTGTGTGGAGAACCTGATGTTCCAGAGCATAGGAGTGGCACTGCTTCTGTGCATGACCTCTGCCCAAGTTGCTGTGATGGGTGGCAGGGCATAGGAGTGGCTATTACCCCTGGCCCACACTAGGCAAAGCTCGTCACTGTGATGCAGGGCCAGCAGGGAGCTGGAATAGCCCCTCTGGGCAAGGACAGGGACTTTGTGGGTGGCCTCTGGCTGGGCTGGGACCTGAGCAGGACCTTGGGGTGCTCTGTCAGCCCCAACCCTTGAAATGGGCTGAAGTGGTGCCTGGTCCCTGACAACCCCTCCTCGTCTGGGAGGTGGGGAAAGAGGCCACGGTGTTCCCCGTGGTGCAAATCAGCCCCACGGGCTCCCCCTGCCGAGCTGTTGAAAAGCAGGAAAAAAAGAAAGCGGCCGGGGAAAATTTCCTAGCAAAATGGGCCAGGGGTGCCCGCGGGATCGAACC